ATGTTTGGGCCTGATAGACTGACTATTTGATAGACCCCAAGGTGTGGGCATGGGCCGCAAGCCTCAGGTGTGGTTGAAGGATGGCGATGAAGTCGAGGTTGCGTTGGAGGGAGTCGGGTCCTGTGTCAACCGGGTGGTCTTTGACAAGCCTAGTGCCAAGCTCTAAATTCATTTCTCTTGGACTTGCCTTAAAACCAATGAAAGGGTTGGTACTGGTTCAAGCTGTACATAACTACCTGCACGTTTCAGTCTTTGCAATTTGATCATTGTGGTTATTTGGACCCAAATATTATCTTTGAACCCGTAATTCCGTGTGCATTACATTTAAAAGAAAAACATAAATAAGGATCTAAGCAGTCTGGGCGCCGTATCCCCTGATTCTTTCGGCAAAGGCCCAGCTCTGACCCTGAATCTGCTCATCCTCCTTCAACTCAATGCCATCCTTCGTGATCACGGCTATCGAGTACTTGTCGGTACTTCGTGCATCGCGGTAGAACAGAACCTTCAAGCAGTCCTTCACGGCCTCAATAGCTTCTTCCTTGCTGACTTGTTCGAGGGGGGTATCCTCAGGGAACTTGCGGCGCAGGATCGGAACCGCAAGATGAGCACCAAAGCCTGTAGCCAGATGAGGGGCAGAGAATGTTGTTCCGAGCAAATCTGCGGAGCTAAGGAAGGGCTCGCCTCCCGCATCGAAACCCGCGACTAGGACGTGGTTCCACAGCGGGTTGAACTCGGAGCGTCGTTTGTAGAAAACCTTTGCAAGGTAGGTGTGCAGGTTCTTGGCGTTGAGCATGTTACCGTGAGGTGAGTAGTTTTCCTTGATATCCATGGAGTCGAGGAGACGGTCGAGATATTGCATGTCGGAAACGTCACCGCCAAAGCCAACCAGTGCCTTATCGCCGAATTTCCGCAGACGCTTCACGTCGGAGAAACGAGCCAGGGATCCGTAGGAGGCTATATATTCACAAATCATATCATGTCAGATGGCAATGCAGCGAAGGAAATGGAACGTGACAATGGAACGGCATACCCAGGTTGTCGGTAGCTATAACGACTCCGCCATTAAACTTGACACCTACCACTGACGTTCCCGTCACTGCAGGGGATGAGGTATGGGCCTTGGGACCTGTGGTCTGCAAATATGAGTGATCGTAGGCACCGTAGACATCGTTCCTGGGCTGGACGAATAGTTAGCAACAGAGCAAGGACTGGGAAAGTTGTGCCACCTACGCGACCCCAAGCTTCAGGGAAGTGGTTCATGATGAATGATGATAAATGACAGATTCAACGGGAGTCGACGAAAGGAGGTAAATTGCGGACAAGGAGGGAACAACAGATGGATAGTACAGTAAAGTGATGACGATAGATGGGGAGCTACCTTAGGCAGTCGAGCTGACGGAGAGCTCGGCTGACTAAGATTCGCGGTCACGGCGGAGCCTACAACATAAGGCTCATATATCTACTGTGCTATGTGGACTAAATGACTATCTTATGTATCCTTTAAAATGCAAACATTTAGAAGAATGGAAGTAAATAATTAGTTATACTACATTTATCTAGTTACTCCCGAGGTCTACACTTTTGACCAACCTGATTTGGTGCTCGTATTCGCTTCCAAATGGACGATCCCGTATTTTCTGGTTGGATGCATAGCCTCAGAAACTTATGGACCTCATATAATAGATGACACTGTGCCCAGCAGTAGCTCCCTTCATTTGACAATCTTTGCATATCCAAGCTTCATTCTGGAGTCAATGTCTTCTCCGGATTCAAGTCGCGCTGGGTCAACGGCATCTGCGCCTCCCATTGACAACAATGGCCTTTCACGAGTGTATATCATCAACAACCGGCTTTTCCGCAGGCACTACGACATCAACTCGGCAGACGACCAGCCTTTGTTTTACGCCGAAATATCTATGTTCACACCCAACAAGCCTGACCTAATTCTCCACGCTGGTACCAGCAGCAAGGCTCCGATTGTGGCTGTCTCTAAATTTCTGAAGTCGTGTGGTGATTACAAAATAGGTATTGGGAACCCCGAGGATGTGATTAACGTCCAGTGGGAGGATATGACCAGAGAACTCCTTCACAAACCAAAGTACCGCTTCGAAATGACAGTTCAATCCGCATCTGATCAAACCCAGAGCGAGAGGCGGTCATATCTGTGGAAGCGAACACGCACCATTGGCGTTGAAAATGAAGCACCGTCTAAATGGACTGGTCGGAACTATAAGCTCGTGGATGAGCGCACCGAGCAGGTTCTGGCCGTGTTTTCAGGTGCAAGAAGACCGGGCAGAGTTGGGAAACTTCAAATCAGAGTGGAATACGGAGAGGACTTTGATCGAATGGTGTTGGTTTCTTGTTTGACCCTGTGTGAGAAGGCGAGGCGGCGGAAACAGAGTTCATCCAGTGGTGGTGGAGGCTGAAACAAGTATGATTGTTGCAATGTATGATCCACAAGTATGATAATATACACGAGTCCAAGTGTGCGCTATGTCAATTGAGATGGTATCAACGATCCTCTTTCCAGGGCTCTTTCTAGAGTCATCGGATATACCACCAATATTTTTCTCCGAGACGGGCACATAATCCTCGAGTTTTATCGATGGAAGAGTGCTTCTTCTGGAATGATAGGATGTCAGAACGTAAACTCCCTTGTTGGGAAGGCAACTACTGCGTCACTGAATATGCGAAGCATTCGGGTTATGTGCTGGAGCCACATTTTCAGGTCACAAGTTTGAATGTCCACATTTCCCGAAAGAGCTGATGCAGCCGAGGCCATTCGGCCTTGCCATCCGAGATCTGGCATACTATGGTTGGTCTTCTTGGTCCGGTTGCCGCCGAATGGAATTCTCAGGCAGACCCGGTGACAAAATCAACCGAGCTTCGCTGGCCCGATGCCTTTTTCTCCTCCGATTGTTTACGGAAATCTTGCTGGGTTCTCAAAAGCTCTTCCTTGAAACCCCAGTTGGGTAGATTGGACGGATTCCATAAGTCGGCTGGCAGCGATGTGTCATATTGCGATTGCTCATTGATCCCAGCATGTTCCATCATCTTCTTCAGCAAGCTTGGATTCTTAAGCGATGACGAGCTGGCCAATTTAGAGTTGAAATGTACGCCTTGCTTTTTGAGCGAGAGGAAATGCTCGAATTTCGCGTTTGCGGCTGGGTTTGGTGATCCAGGAGGTGATGGTGGGATGTCTAGATTAGGAATTGGGGGAAGCGTGAGGTCCTGAACGAGTGCTCGTGAAGCCGAAAAGGGAGATGAGCGTCCACTTGTCAAATGCTTGTCCTCCGAGAGGGGCGCCATGTCGATAGAAGCGGGGCCAAGGACAGGCCCTTCTGGGACTGAATCGGTGGCAACGTGAAAGCGTGTCTCCGTTAGTTGTTGTTGGGATAGTTTATGATCTAAGTAAATTGTCAGCGCGAATTCTTGGAGCTTACCGGCCCCGGAGAATTCAGAGGCATGTTACCTTCGTTCTGGCCAGCTTGTGAGGTTGTAGGTGGAATATCCTTGTTACGCTATTGCTTCTGGATCAGAGCCTCTTCAATATTGCTCTTTTGGGGTCAAAATACCTGAGCTTTGGGTGAAGGACCCTTCCGCTCTACCTCATCCTCACTGCTGCTCTCATAGTCACCGAGACCAAGCATCACGTCGCAGTTTGTGTCTAGGTACAAGTGTCGAGATTGAAGGGGATCAAGAGGACACTGGAATAAAATCCAGAGATATGGTCCAGGTAATTTTTCAAATTTGAGTATGTCGAACTTAACGTCCAGGAATAAATGAGGCGCCGATAGTAACTATCGAAACAGCCCTCCAGGGCTCTCGGGGAGCTTGGATATTCCTTACCTAATCAGAAGGCAGCTACCGCATCGCGTCAGACATCCAGCTTCTTTGCTCCCCATCTTCCAAACTCCCCAATCTCGAGAATATCCTACATTCAACACTTTAATCTTCTTCATTAAGCTGCCGTTGTGATATTTTCTCCCGATCAAGCTCCATCTCCCCGAAAATGACGTCGCTCATGGGTAACCACTCTGGGACTATCGGATACTCCTTCTCTGAGCCAACATCCGCCAATGTCAAGCAACATTCGTTCTACCCGTAAGGAATGACTTGATTAAATCGAGCAGGAACATTGGCTAACAGTTGCACTAGTTACACCGATAATGGTGGTTCCACCCTTGGCATCACGGGTGCTGATTTCGCTATCCTCGCCGGTGACACTCGTTCCACATCAGGCTACAATATCAACTCTCGCATGGTCCCCAAAGTCTTCAAGATTGGAGGTGATGATGAGACCGGTGAGGGAGCTACTATCATTCTTTCCGTTGTTGGTTTCGCCGCGGATGGAAACGCTCTCAAGGAAAAGCTGGACACTGTGGTGAAGATGTACAAGTACCAACATGGGAAATCCATGTCAGTGAGTGCATGTGCACAGCGATTGTCGACCATCCTCTACGAGAAGCGATTCTTCCCGTACTACGTACATGCTATTCTGGCTGGTCTGGATGAGGAAGGTGTGGGAGCTTTGTACAGCTACGACCCAGTGGGCTCTTACGAGCGGGAGCAGTGCCGAGCTGCTGGTGCGGCATCCAGCTTGATCATGCCTTTCCTGGACAACCAAGTCAACTCCAAGAACCAATACATCCCGGGAAGCGGAGAAGGACATGCCCTTGTGCCCAAGAAGGCTGAGCCTCTGGACAAGGAGACGGCCAAGAAGCTTGTACAGGATGCCTTTACAAGTGCCGTGGAGAGACATATCGAGGTTGGTGATGGTTTGCAAATGGTTATTGTTACACGGGAAGGAATCGAGGAGGTGTTCCACGCCCTGAAGCAGGATTAGAGTATAGGACATGGTAGATCATGGCCTTCTTATCGGGCGCGGGGCTCTTTTTTGATCGGTTGATCACAAACATAATCGAGATGAATGAAATTTCCATGAATTGATATCTTTACGTTATACGTCGTCATGTCTAAGGTCAAGAAAGAAAATAAGGAGACAGCGTAAAACCTGATGCACCTGAACGCCCACACCATGCCGGATGAGATATATGAGTCGTGGAATCAGAAGCGTTCCTTCATTCGCGAAGCAACAGTCCGAAGGTTGCCATAAACCTTGCCCTGTTTTGTGTTAGAGAAATTCCTTGAAGGTTGATACAATCAAGACTTACCGGAGGGCTACCCAAAATCAAGCTGACAATTGCCTCTCGGGCAATGTGAATGTTCTTAAATCCACCCAGAATGTGAATCTTCTGGTCTGCAAGTACCACTCGTGTCCGACTGGCGTTTTCGATGGCAAACTTGGTCTTTCCATCCTTTCCTGCAATACGTCCAATGGCACGACCAAGATGTTCGCCGTTCAGAGTCTTCACATCCTTGATCTCGAAGGTCTGGATGTACAGATCATCAAGTCGGAGAAGAGCAATCGCGTCGTCGAGATCGAAGCCAAGAGTGAAGGCCTTGACGAAATCAGCACCTTTTGCAGAGCTCCCACATCGTTGGTAAACTTTGAGGTTCGCAATTCCACGGATCGGGTTTTGATATTCATTCGCACTTGCAACTTGAGGTGCTCAACGATGGGAGGGCAAATCTTGGCCCAGCTCGCTTTGAGAGGGGTCATACGGTGCGGTGGGACAGGCACCTTTCGGGTTTCGATCTTATATGCGGTTGCGACGTCCTTAGCCGGGGTGAAGACAGGGCGACCTTCCTCGTCGATGCGCATTTCGGTGTCCTCCGCAGACTCGGCGACGGGGTTAGCCGGGGCGCCCTCGTTCGTGGCTTGTACATCGATCAAAACTTCATCATCCTGATCTATTGATTGTCAGATATGGAGAGGTTTTTTTTTTTGCAGATCATATCAAGGACTAACCGTGAGAGACAGCCTCAGGCTGAAACTGTAGGGCCTGCTCTGGCTGGCGAATAGCTGTAGGTGCCGACATATTGTGTTGATTAAAGAATGAAGTTTTTTTTTTTCATAAAATCTGTTATCGCAAAATTTAATCAGTTCTCCCCCTCACGGAAAAATGAAGTGTGGGCGGAAGGGAATTTTTTGATGCAAACAAGACAAACTCTGATGATTTCATCCGGGTTCCTTGCAACTCTCGCAAGCTTGGAAGCTTCTTGTCAACAAGTCAACTGCTGTTCATGATACAGTGTGTCTGTCATATTTTCTTGTCAAGTTTCACATCCATGTCCAGGATGTAAAAGCAAAGATGTCTGCCAATCTGGGACGCCGGTTGTACACCCATATCTGGGGTACAACAAATCCATTTCTTGGTCGCATACGCATAAATCGCGTATCGGCCCCCGATGCTTGTAACTCAAGATTATTTCTCGATTCGTCCCTTTCAAATCACTCTCGACGCATCTCGACGCCGTCAAGGAAGCCAACTGGTCTCACCAAAAGATTCGCCTCTGGCGGCTTCTTCGTCCTCGGCGTTTCGCCTACCTCAGCTGTTGCGGATACTACGGCAGCATGCATCATCTCCTCTCCCAAAATTGCCGCCCAGTATGTTTGGAAGCGAACTTTACATACCTCGAACAACCATCAACATGGGAAAGAAGCTTCTCAAGATACTCATGAACGCAACGAAAATGACCATTCCCAGAAACTCGGGAAATCCGGCAAGGATACATCCGCCACACATTCACAAGTCAAACCACCCCAAGATACTCAACACCCCGCAACGAACAATCGCCACTTAATGGATCGCTTACCACATATGCCTCACCTACATCGGCCAACCAAGGAGGAGCTTTTGGCCGCAGCAACTGGGTTCTGGTCACGCCTCAAAGTACGATTCAAATGGTTCTCTATAAGAAGTGTCCGTCCTTACAACATGGATGAGATAGCTGCGCTATTCTCGTGGGTTCTGCTGGGCCACATCGTCTGGGTTGTCGTGGGAACTACCACTTTCTTCTCGCTTCTGATCCTTGCGATCAACACAGTCTTTGCTCAAGGTATGTCTGCTTTTCGTTGCAGTAAGTCATGGGTACTAATGTGCTTGGATAGAAACATTGGCAGGGTGGGTAGGCAACTATCTCACCAAGTCTTCTGGAGTTAAAGTTGTTTTTGAGTCTGCAATCGTGCCCAAATGGAAAAATGGCGTCATCACCTTCAAGAATGTATTTGTGTCAAAACGACCAGGCCAAGGCACAGGTCATGTCAGTAAGGGCTCGTCGAAGTCTGCAGCAGCCGCGGCCGCAGCTCGAGGTGACACTGGCTCCGAAGATGCCCAGGTAGTATCTGACGAAGAGGAAGATACTAACTACACACAATTTGATTTGTCGATCGAGACGGTCAATGTGACATTATCATTTACCAAATGGCTCAATGGAAAGGGCCCACTTCATGATGTCGAGGTGAAAGGCATACGAGGTGTTGTCGACCGCCGCCATGTTTACTGGCCGGAGGAGGATTTAGACCCTAAATCCTACCGACATGAGCATACTCCTGGTGACTTTGAGATTGACTCTTTCAAGATGCATGATTTGCTTGTCACCGTTTACCAACCGGATGACTTCCGACCCTTCTCCGTGAGCATCTTCTCATGCGACCTCCCTCAGTTGCGGAAACAATGGCTCTTTTACGATTTCCTCTCTGCCAATATGATGTCTGGGTCGTATGATAACTCTTTGTTTACAATCCATGCTCGTCAAAGCCATGGATTCACAGGCATTCGACAGGATAGCGAAGCAGAAGAGGATGGCAAGCCAAGCCCGTGGAAGAAACATAACAGAATTCGAGTCGACGGGCTCAATGTCGACCATCTCAACCGCGGTGTTCAGGGTCCCTTCTCTTGGATTCACGAAGGAACTGTAGATATTGTGGCCGACATCATGTTACCTGCAGAAAACGATGAGAGCTTAGCCAAGGTGATGGTCGATTTCTATGACCGGTTAGAAACCACTGTCACCACCAATCGTTACCCGGAGCCTCTATCTTCATCCTCCAGCCCAGAATCAGAGACTGAAGATCGGCGTTTCCTGGCCATGGATTTGCGCGTGCACCTCAACAATGTTCGGGCTGTCGTGCCCATCTTCACCCGGGACCTTTCTTACATCAACAACGCACTGATCCGTCCTATCGTTGCCTATATCAACTCTAAGCGCACTTTTATTCCCATCAATTGCCGCTTAGTCAAGCGCGTTGGAGATTTCGATGGAAGCTGGACTGTCTTTGACAGTGGCCTGATGGATGACCTGTCAGCTGCAGTGAGTACCCTTTTTTTCATGCCCTGCAACACCTTATCATTGCTGACAACCTCTCCAGACTTATGACGCGTTTGCCCGAGATGTCGTGGACGATCAAGCCCGGAAAAGGCGGTTCAAGAAAGTTGGGTTCTGGTCCCTTCAGCTGGCCGCCCAGGCTATTTTCATGGGCATGGCTGGAAACATCGCCTAATTGTACTATTGTGTACTTCATTTGACTGGCGTTCTTTTCTTTCTTTTTTTCATATTTGGTCTGTATTATAGTCATTGCGGTCGCATTTACAGGAGCTTAGGTCATTTTTCAAGATAGAATCCATCTCAAACCAAGTAGGAAACAGAACTCAACCCAGTCCAACTGTGAGACTCCAGGTATTTCCCTGAACATTCAAAACATTCCAATCACCAACTTCCAATAGCCCTAGATAACTTTCATATCGCTCTGGTTTCACTGCAGTTGTGCCGAATGCTAGGACGGCTTTGTACTACAACTGAGTCTATATATCCACTTCCCCTTATATAGTGTTAGTAAAGAGCTATTACATACAATACACTCCTTGATTTATATTTAAAAATAGAAGAGAAGAGAAGAAAAAAGAGCAGAAAGAAAAAGCATATGATCCTGATGATACCTAGGTAACTAGGTAGTTAGTTAGTTACCCTTACTCTCTTAGGTAACTCGGGGTAGAGAGACTGAGACGGGAGATTGAAAGGGATCAGGTCTGCATACCAACGCATCTCAAAATCATCTTCCTCACTTCCTCTTCTTTTTCTTCTTCAAAAGTACCGAAGTTGTCCCATCCAACTTCTTTTATATTTATCTTGTTTACTATTATTTGTTATTATTCCCATTAGCTCGAGACCCCCTTTTCCTCCCCCCCACTTGACTTTCTTAAGCTCCCGAGGTCTCCAGGGCTCTCACCCTCTCAACACTCATTATCTGTGCCACCAGGGTGTGTTTTTACCGTTATTTTCTTTCCAATCGATTGATCGGTTTATACGACCCCTTTTCCCCTCCCTGGCGCTTAAGCTTCAGCTTCCGGGGTTCCGCGCTTTCGCCCCTTGGGCCTTCGCCTCGTGTCGCCCCCGAACGTGACCCCTCTGATGAGTCTCGATTCTTACAGCCATGTCGCAAGTTCCGCGAGGGAATAATGAAAGCTCGCCAACTTCCTCTAAGAATCAGTCTGGTTATCCAGCCAATAACGGCCTCATACCGCGGGATTATTTAGCTCGATCCGATCAACGCCCCGGACCTGCTCCTGGTTCTCGACATATCACACCTTCCCCATTGCATACAAGTTCCCTGCCCCAGTCATACCGTGTCGACGGCTCTGAATCATCCCAGAGTCCCCTATCCCCGAAATCCGGCAACCCTCCTTCCCAGAATCGGTCGCCAATCACTCGCGTGGCCAATGCACCATACTCTGCGCCACCCTTCAGCACTGGTCAGAGTCTGTCGCAATCACCAGAAATTGAAGGAACAGAATCGGTGAATTCCAGAAGCAGGCCCGGTGAGAGCAATATGCCCAAATCATCCCGTGCGCCAGAGCCCGACCGATCTGCCTCTTCCTCGGTCAGCTCTATACATTCGATGCCGGGAGATCGCACACCCAATCGTGCCATGCCTCGTACCTCGTCGATTGACTCCGCCATTTCATCCCTGTCCTCCAGCTCTCAGAGGTCGGCCTTTGATGTCAATGCTTTAAGTACAGCCGACATTAATAATCTCATCAATGCGGCTGGATCTGCCGAGGCTGTGATCATGCACCTCTTGAAAGAGAAACACCAAGCGGCCTCTCAGAACACACAACTGTGGAAATTGGTTGACAAACAACGGACTTTAATCCTCGGCCTTAACAAGGATCTAGAGCGTGCTTTCCAAGAGAAGGATAAATACCGGAAGAAACTCAAAGATATACAAGATGCTCCGCCATTGCCCGTTGCTGCGCCCTTAGCGACTGTGGCCGCACCGAGCAGCGACAACGAGAATGCGTCGCGCAAACCTGACAAACCATCAGTTGTCCCACCATCTGATGCCTCTCAGCGGGGCTTCGAAAACACCACAAGCCCAGTCTCTGCCACAGATCTTCCGTCCCCAGTAGGAGACGGAATGAGCAGGTTCCCGCACCCAAATCGCAAACCACCACCTGCGCCTCTGAATCTACGACAAGCAGACAATCCAAGGGAATCTTTAGCTTCAGATTCCGATTCCGGTTCCGATTACGGCGACACCCAGGATATAGATGGGGTACCGAGTGAGGGCCGTGGGCGGAGAAAGACGAGAGAGCAGGACGACCAGGACCGCGAAGCTGCGCTGCAGAAGGATATGGTTGAATCTACCGGTTCTGTGGGACTCCCTCAGGCAGCGTCCTCTCACAGCTCCCGAGATACAGCAATGTGTAGCCCGGAAACGGTCCCCAGGGAGATTTCTACGAGATCACCGCCAAATGTGGGGGATTCTAATTCACTGGGGTCGCTTTTGGGCTCCCGGCCGCCCCCCGCTTCGTCATTCAATGGGCGCTCTATTGCTGCCATGCCAATGAGCCCTGGACTGCCTTTGAGCCCGAGACCAGAAGATCGACCCATTAATTCGCCCATGCCTCGCATGCCTCGAGACATGTCCACTTCCATGGCGGCCGGGTATCAGGCTCCAGGATTGCCGCTCTCGCCAAGAATGGCAAACCACCCCACGGGCTTTGCTCCCATCCCTTCGGGGCGTCCTATCCCATCAATCGATCCCACAGTCATGATTGATAGCCCGAGATCTACAAATTTCCCCGACAACCAA